AAAGAAAAGAAAAGAAAGAAAAGAAAAGAGAAAAGAAAAATAAAATAAAAAAAAGAAAGTGAGGAGAGAAACAAACCAGACAAGATTATTTTATCTAACAAGTTCAGGAGTAGAGTTGCTTTTATTTCTAAAGCTTTCCCTCCCCAGCCTTAACCTTGTTCAGATGAATGACAGAAACTGCTTTGTTCTCATTTCAATAGTCTTGATCCCTCCTCAGATCTCTCTTATCTCCACTTAATGCAGGGAACAATTCCTTCTTGAGAAAATGCATGAAGATGGTTTTATTGACTGCCCCATTGCCATAGCTTGGCTTGTAAACTCATCAGGTGCAAGACGCAGTAGCTGCAACAAAGCTCTGAACTGTCTAAAAATGAAGGCATTTGTACTGTTTTGATGTTTTTAACTGTCAGAGCCTTTTGCAAATACCAACAATTTAATTCTTGGAACATATCTGATTTCCATATTCTCAATGCACCGATACTAGAAATAGAAATAAAAACTTATGTGCCTAAATTCACGGAGAACTTCAAAATTCCAGATGGGCCCAATTCCTCAACATAAACTGTCAAATACTGCTGCTTGCAGTATAGTCATAGGCAACATCTACCACGCAATTAAGCCATTAGGACAGTTTGGAATGATAACAGAGTTCTAGAAGCTTTGATACAATAATTGGTACCACAATGTACTCCTGAAACTTTCCTATCTAGTGTGAGAAAAGCACAAGTACATTATACATGTCTAACATCCAGCACCTGTATAACATATTGCCAATCTCAGTAAGTGTTCTATAGTTCAATATACAGGTGGCATTACAAAGAAAGTAATGTATTTTAATTTTACATCAAAGAAATACATTTTTTAAATTACGAATTTTCATTACAATGCAGCCAACCAGCAGTGCATTAACCAGACTAAAGAGGCAGGCACACCACCCCTTTATATAGAATACACTTTTTGATTCATTTGAATAAATGTTTCTGGTAAAAACACAACAGTACAAAACCTGGAATAGCAAACCAATCGCCCCGCTGTACTTTAAATACCCACTGATATGACACAAATGTAGTTAGGAACCAAACATATGTCAGCTCTTGTAAAAGAAATCTGCTATAAAATCTACAGAGATACTGGAGAGAGTCCAATGAAAGGCCAGTAGTCTAATAAAGGGACTGGAGCATCTCTCCCATAAGGGAAGCCTGAGAGAGCTGGGACCGTTCAGCCTGGAGAAGAGAAAACTCAGGGGGCATCTTATTAAGCTATGTAAACACCTGAAGGGAGGGTGCAAAGAGGACAAGAGCCATGCTCTTTTCAGTGGTACCCAGTGACAGAACCAGAGGCAATGGGCACAAACTGAAACACAGCAAATTCTGCCTGAAGATCAGAAAACACTTTTTTACTGTGAGGATGACTGAGAACTGGCACAGGTTGTCCTGAGCAGTTGTGTTTCCCCCCTTGTGGAGGAGCAAGAACCAGAATGGGAATGGTTTCAGGAATGGAAAAAGATATACAGCGAATGAAAGGACTTTATTATATGGACTTTACAGTTATTGTGAGAAATAGAAACCCAGTCGGGTGATTTCCAATTAGAATTTATTATATGATAAAAGCAAATTCAGCGCTGGGTGATCAGGGAGGGGGTTCAACAACTCCCAACACCTGTCACACCCAAAGAAGACAGTTGTTCTCCATTTATTTCCAACTAATTCATGAATATTCATTATACATATGCATAAACATTACACATTGTTAAGTCAGACATTCAACAGATGTTTTTCTTAAACAAGAATGTTATCTATAAGCATCCATAATATATTGTGAAGTCAGACATTCAACAGATGTTTGCTTGTTATCTATACAAAGTTATAAATTTTTAAGAAAGGTGCTATTATCTAGCTAACTAAACAAAATTCCTTCACTATAAATCTTACACAAGGTAAAAGGGAGGTAACTTGTTTTATCTCTTTATAGGGGCCCAATTAAGTTTTATGATTTGTTTTCCTCCTCTCTCTCCAGGTCATATTGACCTTACACTGTTTTCTCTTAATTAGCCCGAATCATTTTCTCAGTTTATCACAGTTATTATGTGTTTACAAATATATACTTTGTATGATTTCCCCTACAGTTGTAACTGCCCAGGCATGGTGGTGCCTGCTCCCTGCTTCCCCCTCGGATTGGCTGAAGAAGCTGCAGAGAGGAGAGAGCTACCATTCGCCCTTTCCTTCCCTGGTTCCTCCCCCGTTCTTCCCTCTTCGCCTGAGTCCCTATCCCTATTCGTTTCCCTGGTTGTCTGTCTCATGCTCCACCCCATTTTCTGGTGCATTCCACACGAGAACTCATAAAACTCCCGCACGCTTTCAATAAAGTAGCATTGCAACCTCAGACCTCGTCGGAGCTTTTCGTGCAGTGCCGTGATCCTTCTCCCCTCCCCCTCGGACCGTGGCACCCCCTCTCTGGAGAAATTCAAAAGCTACCTAGACAAAACCCTAAGCAGCCAACTCTAGGAGAGGCTGTTTGAGCAGAGGTTCAGACCAGATAACATCCAGAGGTCCCTGCCAGCCTCAACAATCCTGTGATACCACAACATTCCTAGTTACAAGTAATAGACCTAGAAAGCATTTTCCCTAAAATTTAACTATTTCAGCAAATAAAATATACATTAATATATTGAGGAGATTCTGATCCACCCCAGCTTTCACACATGGTCCTTCCCATTCCCTTTTTTGCCAGGTTTTCTTCTTCTCAAACATAAGGACTCATTCAACACAGATTGTCCTATTCCTGAAGTGATATTCTGAGGTCTCTGGCTGTACAAGACTTCATTCAGCAAATACACGGGTTCATCCAGCGAATATAACTAGCTCCTGTACTATTATTATTACTTCTTTAATTTTCAAAAGGATTTTAGGCTGAAATCTGCCTAAAAGCAAAGCTCAACTCAGTATTACATTTCTTATTTAGTATGTAGGGATCAAGCATATTTTTTCATATGCTGACATAACACAGTTTGATACTAATGCCAATTGATCAAATTTTTGTAATTCAAAGATCACAACCAGCATGTCTCTTCATAAGGATTTAATTTCCATTATGCTCTGTCATACCTCCTGGTGTTGTGAAATTTCTTCTGTTATGCATAGATCATGCATTTCTTAATGGGCTTCTCACTTTATCCAAGGAACAAACATACTGAACTAACCTGACATATCTTGCTTTGAGAGAATAAAGAACAGCTTTATTTGCCTTCGTGAAGTAAGGATTACTGTGCTGAGTTTGCAGACCAAAATGCAAAAAGGAAAACATATGCCAAGTGTTTGATGATTGCAAAAGTTGCTTATTTGCTGGCTTACTTTTTTCCAGAATGATAAAATATCTTCTAAATGCTTAAAATGAAAATTCAACATGTAACTCTTCTATGATGTACATTTTTGAGCTTTACTATTCCACAATGCAGTGCCAAGAAGAAATGCAAAACATCTTATTTTATGGTTGACGTGAAGTAAACATTTTTTCTTGGATAGCACAAAGACATTTGATCTTTGGTTGCAATTATTACTATTTTGTCTCATTCACACATTTTATGCAAAACATTAACAGTACTGATTTATGCAAGTTATAAAATCGTAGAATAATAGGATGGCTTGGGTTAGAAGTGACTTTTAAAGGTCATCTAGTCCAACCCCCTGCAATCTTCAAGTAGATCAGGTTGCTCAGAGCCCCATCCACAACATAGCCTTGACTGTTTCCAGGGATGGGGCATCTCCACCTCTCTAGGCAACCCACCCAGAGAGGCGTCTCGCTCCCTTCATTGTAAAAAATGTCTTCCTTATAACTAGTCTAAATCTACCCTGGTTCAGTTTAAAACCATTATCCCTTGTCCTACCACAACAAGCCCTACTAAAAAGCTTTTCCCCATCTTTCTTATAAGCCCCCTTTAAATATTGAAAGTTAACACAAAGGAACCGAGTTTTTAAAATCATGGCTCAAAGAAGGAAGTTGAATTGAGCACACCTCCCTTCACAAAGCACTTCTAGACATTCTTTGCATAGACTCTCATCACAATCTTGTACAGTGTTTATGAGCTGAATCATCAGTTGACACTTACTTTCCAGGTATATATTGATCAGATTAGAAAAGAAAGATAAGATGAACTCCCTACAGTGATCTTCCCAAGCTAAGCCACTATTATTTTGCTGAAATCACAGTTCACACAGAGCAAGCAGGGCAGATAGGGACTAATTCGGCTTAAATAGAGGAAAGCATAATGTGATGTATAATATAGGAAGGATTCCAG